TCTTCTGTCATCTGCTCTCTCTGCTCATTTTCTCATATTGGCCTGTGCCCTGGAAAAATTGGGAAATGGAAACCCAGTAGGTTAGAATTATTCCTTTATTAATTGAATTATATTAATTTATTAATAAAAAAAAAGTGCAAACCTGTGTTTCAACTTTTTTAAATAGTTTATTATATGAGTTCAAAGAAATAATTTTAATTGATAAAAAATTAACAGATGTTTAAAAAGAACAAAAATTTTAAGCATCAAAATTCTCATTCAATCTTTTCTGAAACACGTATTTAAAAATATTTCAAAAATTATCAATAATTTTCCTTTTTGAGTCATATCTTTCTCTCTTTTTTTTTGGAGTGGGGATACAGAAATTGTGAAACACAATTCCTACTTCCGTCTTTTGTTGGTCTCGAAGTGGGATAATTATTATTCTGGCCATCCGCATCTCCCACTTTCATTGCATGTTTTAACTGACACAAATATAAGATTTATAAAATTTTATTTTACCCAATATTGAAAATTTATTTAAAAGATTTGATAAAAAAATGTCCCAAAATAACAGTATTCCACCAGGATAGAATTTTTTCTCTCAAGCTGAGAATGGGGTTTTCTATGTATCTCTTGATGGCTGGTATATTTAGCTTCCTTTGGTTTATATCATACCAAACAAATAAAATGTTTTACAGAGTGACAGACTGAATTATTATCCTCAAAAGAATTTTTATGCATGAAACATGAAGTTGGGCAACCCATATAAAAGTGAAGTATATGGTAGCAAGCTTGAATGTTGTGGTCAGAAATAATTAATGTTTTACTTTAAGTATATTGGGAATAATGTCTCAATCTATGAGGGGATGTTACATGCTTGTTCATCCCAGATATGGGTATGCTCTGTGGACCTAACAAAGAAATATCCCCTCATCCCTTTCCCTACTATGATAAAAAAGTAAGAGGTTACAGCAAAACTCGTTTAGTGCTACAAGGATATTGCAAATGTGGATATAGCAAATCTCCCATTGGATAGATATATAAATTTAGTGACTTTCTTATACAGTTATAACGAATTACGGATATAGCGAAGTACCGGGTATTTTTACAGGTCCCAGTGACTTCGTTATAACCAAGTTTTACTTTATAATATCTTGAAATCATGAGATTTTACCATCAATGCCATCTCTTTCCAATATTCCATTCTTTTCAGGAAGATTGTACTTTTTCTTTTGTTAACTTTAGAGACTGGCCATATTACATGCATATTACCATAGGTTTAATAAAATGACACATTAAGAAACAAAATTTGTAAACAAACAGGAGGTCCTTTGTTCTGAGACCTATTTACAATTACAAACACCTTGGCTCTAGATCACTTTATGGAAATAACTCTGTCAGGGAGATGTGCCCTAGATCACTAGCCTAAACCACATTCCTAGTATTTCATAAGCACTTTTTGGACAAGTAAATTGGACAATTCATCAAATGGACACATATGAACATTTTCTCAAAGGCAACTATGAAAGATGTTCTGATGTTTGCCAATCTGTTGTGCTATATCTGTCCATAATTGAAACTACATGTTTTTGTTTTTTAACTATTCAGTGGGCATTGGGACATGCATATTCATATCACACCATGGAATGTTTATAATTAGAAGCCTGTAAAAAATAAAAGTTCATGAATTTATGTTTAAATACAACTTTTAAAACAGTTGAAAACAATGTGTACAAGTCATGTCATAAAAAGAAGGTCCCTGAATTTTGAAAAAAATATTAGTTCTATCCAAATCATTTTGGCTTTTTGGGTTCACCAAACGTGGAGAAAGATATGGGGTAGACCGTATGCCAAACAATAAAATCATTGAAAATAAAACATTATTTTCTTACCTTTAATTCTTCAGTTGTATTCTCAATGAAAAATTTGAAATTGAAACATCTCCAATAAATGAAAAAGAGTGATTCAAAGAAATAATGATTAAGTTTTCCTTATGAAAGTTGGAAATGATGGAATGTATGTAGTTGGGAAAATAGAAAACAAAGTGATTACCCATGTTAGAGATACTGGCTAAAATTACGATTGTTCCAGTTCAAAACTAAAAATAAATTGATTTATCTGATCAGTCAGGAATTTGACATCGGCAAATGCCGCCATGTTGTTTTGGTTACAGAAATTCCAACGTATTAGCTTGGGAAATGTTCCGGTTACCCACAATGTGTTGGGAAATAGATAATTATATTGGGGATAAATTTTTTAAAGAAGACTTTTCAAGAAGTTGTTAGATGCATAAATAAATAGAAATATGATAAAGTAGAAAAAGTAAATAAGTAAATTATCGATAAATAAATAAATACATGTAAATAAATAAATTTCTGATATAAATAAATACCTCCTAATAGTGAATAGTAGCATCTGGGAAGGAAGAGAGGGAGATGAATTGAAATGTCTTTTGACAAATTTCTTTAAATTATTTTTGAGGGGGACGGGGTGCAACTTTTAGCCTATTCTTAAGTCGGTTTTCTTGTTTAGTTTTCACAAGTTCCCATACCAATTTGTTGCTAGAACATGACGTGTACCGATACCAAAAAGGGAGCGTTGTTATGATTATGGGTTATAAGGGTTTCTAAATGAAAAAAATATTAATTATGAATACTAGTATATTTTTACATAATTGTTTATTACTATTTGCCAAAGCATTTGACAAATTGTAGTTGAAAGTTAATTATTTGGATTTGATGTTTAAAGAAAAATTTTTGCCTTACATGTTACCAATATTTTTCCAAAGATTCCTCTGACATGGGTCTAACTGAACTATAACACACTATTTAATACTTGTAATCAACTTTATTGTTAGATCTTATGCTTAGCTCTACGTAATTTCAGTGTTGTAAATTAATGTCATACGGTTTTCCCCTTTTCTTACAATTTTCTATCCTTAATTTAATTGGCTGGTCAGTACGAAAGTCCTTGTTAAAAATTAGATGGGACAATGAGTTTGTAAGTGATTACAAAAACTTAATGACATAACTTTGTAAAATTAATTTTGTTACCCATCACGAAATTTGTTTTAAATTATATTTGTGAAATTCATATTTTTACAGTTGACTTAAAAAATGGGTACTGGCAGGTAAAAATGTCGCCAGAGGATAAACCCAATCAACTGACAATTTCAATTCAGGGGGGTGGTCATATGGCAATTCCTAAATATATAATACTTTGCAATGCTGGGGCCAAAAATTTATTGACTTATGGAAAAGGTTTTGATTAGTTTTTCCCATAGTAAATATTCACTACTCCATCTCTCTTGATATCATTATTCTTTCAAAAACTTTTGAACACATTGACAAGCGTCATTCATTTTTTCACTCGATTTTCCCAATCTTTTTTGAAATATTCCAAAGAAATGTATATTTTTACAAAAGAAAGTTTCATTCCTTGGGCATATTGTAAATTCAACATGGGATATCAACTTTTTTCATCAAATATTGACATCTTTTAGATTCTTTCCTATTCCCAAAATCGTGTTTCATTTGTGTAAGTTTCCTAGGGCTCATATTCAATATGTATAGGAAATCTGTACATAAATTTTGTAATATAGCTTAAAACCGTGTTATGTAACTACCTAACAAAAATTCTTATCTTTACCCAATTGTAAGGAAACGGATTAGACAAGTTTTTGAAACTTGTTATAAGCTCTGACATCCTTTTTGATTCCCGTAATACTTGCCTGTATTTCTTGCTCGTCATGTTCAAATAAAATATGGTTTAAACTAAAGATAAATATACAATGAATAAGGACATTTCATCTATATTGTTTGATCTAAAGTTTTTAGTGTTAATAAAATATGATTGTATTACTATATAATACTTTACTGTGCACTGGGAACCGTTATCAATTATCATGCTGTAAATTTTGATTTTACTCTTGTACTCGAATTATTCGCATATTGCGAATGCAAAATAAATGTTCGAATATAAATTACTTACATTCGATTATAATATTGTATGATTTGGAAATTGGATAAAAAAAACACACTTAAGGTAATCCGATCCTCAACCAGGAAGGATAACTCTTTAATTTATGATTTAATTTAAAAAATCTCATTTATAATGAAACTTGAAATTGAAATGTTTTCTCAGAACAATTTTTATTTTATGCATCTCAAGGTGTTTTAAGATTCTTTGAAGTCTAAGAGACAGTTTTATAAAAATTTGTTATCTGTACCTTATGAAAGTATTCATTAAATTACATATTTAATGAAATCCAGTTTCTTTCATATAAACTTAAATACCAGTGTTCACTAGCATATTTTTAAATTAGAAACAATTTTTGCAATGATAGGAAACACTTTAATTATACACCACTGATGCATTATAAAAAATGAAGTAAGTAGAAGAAATAATCGGACTACCTTAAATTGATTTGATTGCGTCGGACTACCTTAAATTGATTTGATTGCGCCATGATTGTGCATGAAATTACTGAAGCTGGCATAATTTATGTATGTCATTTATATTTCAATCATTTAACAAATATAGACTTATTTGATATGGATTTTCATATTTACAATTACTAAGTTCAGCTGACAATTTTCAAGATTAAGAAATTTTGTACACTCTTTTCTGAATCAAATGAATTATTTTCCTTTCTTTAGCTGAACCACAGACACTTGTTTTGTATACGGGGTACCCTCTACTTATATTTACCACAAGGTACCTAACTCTTTTTCCGGCACATCCGCATCAAGTTGGTATTTTGTAAATTTATTAATCATTAGGTACCTTGTAGTAAATATAAGTACTAAAGGGGAACCCTGTACATGCTGTATAGGAAACAAGTGCCTGTGAGCTGAACCTTATAAATTAACTCGTACTTTAATTAATTTTACAACTCTTTTTGACTACATCATATCTTATTTCCATTTTGCGACAAAATATTGAAGTAAATTATAGGCCTTTGCAAACGGAACTGTTACATCTTTTTTGAATCAATATTTATTTCCAACCAGGAAGTAAAATACTGACATTTTCGCATTCCCCCATCATTAAAACTGTAAGTAAAATTATATACACTGAATGCATAACAAATATTACTGAACTTTTTTCATTGTTTTTATGAAATATGAAAAAGTTATTTTATGACATTTTATGATTTATGCATGGATTGACACGCGCATGCACATGACATCATCACGACTTCTTTGACTACTCTTCTTTAAACTTGCCCACACGGGCTTTACTCTAAAATACACTTTTATACATTATATTGTACATGAAGTATAGAGGTGGCGAAATTTAAATAATACCAAGTAAATCGTGACAAGTCATATACACTTTTTCATTAATTCTAGATGGCTTTATCTAAAATGGATATTCCCCGCCGAGCCCAGCACTTTTTAGAATGCGGCATTGAAGACTGTGAAAGAAACTGTGAGTTCTATTGCAACCCTTGTCATCAAAGATTGTGTAAACAATGCAGCGAGGAACATCTGAAAAGTCCAGAAAGCAAGAACCATGAGGTGGTCCTTTACCAGCAACGTAGACGACAACTTCCTGTGGAGAAATGCAATATCCACCCCACTAAAGATGTGGACATGTTTTGTGAAGATTGCCAACTTCCTTTATGTTCCAAATGTGCCACACAGTCAAACCATCGGGGGCATATATTTACTGATCTAGAGACAATTTATTCAGAAAAATTTGCTGACTTTCAAGAGGAAATTTTCGTGATCCAAAACTACTTTATTCGCACATCTCAAGATTTACAGAGAGAGATTAAGAAAGATTCCCCAGAAATCAAACATATCATGGACAACATCAGAACATCCATGAAGACTGAAGGTGAGACCCTGAAAAGTCTGGTGGACACAGTCATATCTGAGAACATGAAGCAATTAGACCAGATAGAACATTCACTGTTAGAAGATCTAAACACCCAAGACAAGATTATGGATGATTACATCACTTATCTTAATAACCATGTCAAAGAGCTCCACAGATGCCTGTCCTCTACAGAAACCCAGAAATTAATGTCTGAGGAGAAACCAAAGATCCGGTCCATACCAGAGACAACAAAACCAGTCATGCCAGAATTTACTGCTGGTCAATACAATAAAAGTGATGTCACCAAATTACTGGGTAAAATACATATCCCCAACACCATAGCAGAGAAGAGAGAAATAAGGCCCATTGAAAGTATCTACAACACAACAATGAAACTTACACATAATCACTTGATGAAAGAAAACAGAAAGAAATCTGACAGGAAACAAAGATTGTCTCTATCTGCCTATGTCACGCAGGTCAGGGAGTTCAATGTACCAGGTGTTGATGATGTATTCCATGTATCACTGGCTCAATCAGACAGACTCTGGATCAGCGATGATGAGGGTAATCTTGTCCAAACAGATCTACAGGGGAATGTTATACAGAAGATAAAAACCAGTGGCAGAGATCAAGGTTACCACACAGTGACACAGGACAGGGATCTGATCTTTACAGACCACGACAATCAAGCCATTAATAGGATAACACAGGATAATAATAACACTGAATTCATTAAAACTGGGGACTGGGAACCACTCAGCATACACTCCTCCCACATCAACGGGGACTTACTGGTGGGGATGAAGACGTCATATACAGAGGCCTATGTCGCCAGGTACAACAAGACAGGAAAAGAACTACAGACCATCAAGTTGGATAACAAAGAACAGGAAATGTATCGATATCCACACTACATCACAGAAAACATCAATGGAGATATCTGTACATCTGACTTAAATAGAAAAGCAGTATTGGTGGTGAATAAATTCGGACGGTACATATTCTCGTACACAGGTCAGGGGTCGAGGTTCTATCCCTATGGAATCTGTACTGATGTCCTCGGTCACATACTGGTGTGTGATACTGTCAGTAACACGGTTCACTTCCTTGATCAGGACGGTCAGTTCTTGTTTCTATTACTCACACCACGACAAGGGGTTTACTTTCCCCGTAGTGTGTGTGTGGATGATGAGAACAATCTCTATGTGGGACAAGGTCACAACAACACACTGACAGTGTACAAGTATCTACAGTGATTAATGTGATTCTCATTCCGGCTTCAGCATACTGTATATTGAATCAAACCTAAATCTATCAAGTAATTATGTTTTATGTTATCATTAAGGTCTTCCGTTTCCAACGGAAGACCTTCTACTGATTCTGATGATTAAGATTATTAAGGTCTTCCGTCTTCAGCGGAAGACCTTTCTGTTATTCTTAGGTTTCTTTTTCACTTTTATTATTGTTTTTTTTCTTACCGATTTTGTGCACGCGATTTCTCGAAAACGGCCTGATGAATTTTCATGAAACTTTCAGGACTTATGTATCATCACTTGAACCTTATGCGTTTTTTTTCTTTTTTGATTACGTCACTTCCGGTCTGAGATATTGCCGATTTTATGAATTTTAAACGGTCGGGTTGTCCAGAGTTTTTCTGAAAAATGGGTTGAGATAGAAACATGAAACTTTCAGGTATGATAGACCTATGTCAGTAGATATGCCTTTCGCATTTTGCTTTTTCCGGAAACGCCGCACTTCGGCGCTCGCTATGGCCCGAAAATAGTCCTACCGCGAATTTCAAATTTTCTTACACCTTTTCTACAATATCATTTCACCTGGAAATATTTTGTTAGAATATATAGAACAAAAGAAGTGTAGAATTCGAAGATCTTTCAAATGATATCTCGAAAAAAGAGCTGGCCCCTAAAAGAAAGGGCCTAGAGGGGCCGAAAGTTTTTTCTTTATATCTCAAAACGTATTGAGAATTTGTGATACGTCAAAGAAGCAAAGTTGTTCAAAATGTCAAGCTTAATCTATTGGAGTCGTCAAAATACGTCCGACATCGTCACTTCCGGCCAAACCGGAAGTAGTCACAAAACACGTATTTTTG